ACTATTCGTTGGCAAAAGAGTAGCCCAAGAGTTGGCGGTGGGTGGTAATGACTAGCTGCCTTCCTTCTAGTCTTACACTGCTAAATTAGGGATGGCTAGCGCAGATGGCCCTCGTGTAGCTTTGCGCGAAATTATAAAAACAAATAAACTGTTAGCATTTCGGAAATATAAAGAGAAATTATATGGCGGATAACCCAAACTTTTGTCAGCGTTTCCTACTATTTGTAGCGCATTATTTGAAGACTTGCAAGCCTTATTGATAAGTGTTTGACATTAATCCTCTACCCACCTCAGAATTTCAGACTGGTCTGCTTTCCTGCCATTTCTTTGCTTCATTTTCAGATTTGCTGCTAAAACAGTTTCTTATATAGAAAGTAAAATATATGAGGAACTAAGCTGTCCCCCATTTTAGAACTTTCTACATAAATGTTTTCAGGATTTCTTGCGGGTACCATGCCGAAAAGTTAGGTGAAACTGGATTTGGAGAAACGTGATAAATATCATAGAAATGTCGTGTAATTTAGAATTGGTGTCAATAAGTGTATGAGACTCGTCTGCAAATAATAATCTCCATGACTGTAGTAAAATGTTAATAAATATTTTAACTGTAAAAGTTTTGGGATAATTTTAACAGCAATAACATATTTCATATTGTTTAAACATTACAATTAGATTGCATATATTCAATAGAGGTTACTTACAATGAGTCAAGTGATTGTAACACTGAAGAAGTGAAACATTTGTTGTTTTACTTGATTGGGTAATATTCTATACTATCGATTTTATTATATTATATTATAAGCATTTCACGTATGGAGGAGGAGCAGGCTCTGATATTTCAACAGTATATCATTGTTTGGATATAATTTGGGCGAATGTGTAAACTTAACCGAAACGGTAACGAAAAGCACTATAAAACTTTTTCATTTTTCAGAAAGAAGCATGGGATGTTTGTAAAGAATCGAGAAAACATTTGAGAGTGAGGAAAGAGAGCACGTTGTGATAGCCCCCTCCCCTTATGGACTCTTCAATTTTTACCCCTGACACGACGATAGCAGGAAAGTCTGATAACTTTCGTGAAGATATCCCGATGCTAGTGAACTAGCCCTCCATTTATTTCGCTTTGTAATGTGAAACTTGGACAGGAGCTTAAAAAAAAAAAGACTTTAATAAATAAATTCAGAAGTGAGTGCAATTATTTTTCTCTATAAGTCCGAAACAAACAAATAAAAAACAAACAGTTGTAGAAAATCTGAAATTTGGATACTAAATCGTGGGGAATCAACGGGGAACACAAAATTTGTAAAACTAAAACAAAGGCTGAAAAGATTTGTTTTTGTTTGTTTTTGAATTTCGCGCAAAGCTACACGATGGCTATCTATGCTAGCCATCCCTAATTTAGCAGTGGAAGACTAGAGACTAGCCAACTCTTGGGCTACTCTTTTATCAACGAATTGACCGTCACATTAGAACGCATCCACGGCTGAAAGGGCGAGCATGTTTAGTGGGATGGGGATTCGAAACAGCGACCCTCAGATTGCGAGTCGAGCGCCCTACCACCTGGCCATGGACTTAAAAGAGGAGAGGTAGAACTGTCATCATGTTGGTTCCCCTTCTCGGGCAGTAAATGTCAGGAATTCTTAGCAAATTTCTGGATCGGGTTTGTTTATTTTAGCGCAAAGCTATATAACGGACTATCTGCGCTATGTCCACTGCAGGATATTGAACACTGGATTTTAGCGGTAAATTCGTAAACTAACCGCTGAGAGATATTGAACCCGTCTTCGGATCCTAAATATTTAGAAAGTTACACTGAACAAACATATTAAAAAAATCTTTTACACTTTTGCTTTTGTCTTTGAAGGAGTGTTTTGTATACTAACTTGCTAAAATAAATTTGGACCTTTATAAAAATTGCAAGAATCTTGAATTATATTTCATCTAACGTAGCACTTCAACTGGAAGTTATATATATATATGGCTAAAAAACGTATCATCTAATCACTGTATCAGCATATGATTCACAACAAATTCAAATTGGATTGTTTTCTCTTTTACCCATAAGTACTTGGTACACCTGCTACCTACTTTTATTCTTGCAGGCATCATAACGGCGTATTTTCATAAAAAGAAGTTTTTCACACTGAATCGAATGATATATGGTTTGTAAAGCCTTTCCTCAATAAAATATACAGTAAGTAGTTTGTGTTATATTATTATTATTACTTATATAAACTACCCATCTAGATGACTAGCTGCCTTCCCTCTAGTCTTACACTGCTAAATTAGGGACGGCTAGCGAAGATAGCCCTCGTGTAGCTTTGCGCGAAATTCAAAAAACAATCCTACTTGTATTTATGAAATTAAAAGTAAAAATTATTGTACTTGTTTGTTTTCTTTTCTATTAGCTATATTTTTGTGCACCAGCAATACCAAGCGTGGGACGCGCATATACCTGATTCGATTGTATTACTCATCAGGATCTCTACCAACCTACCCTCAAATCTAACTACATGCCCAAAGTAGTGTATTGTCCGTTATATATATATATATATATAATATATACTAGTATCCTTTTCGATAAAAGAAAGAAATCATTGGGACACCTGATGGAAGAGTTCTTTGAAAGAATTAGCGCAATAAGGTTCGTCATTTTTTTTCTGTACGCTTGTCTGGAAAAGCCACTTACTTACTTACAAGTTCGTTGAAATAGTGAAATTTTGAACCACTCCATAAACACGTATATAGCGATTTAGGCGGCTTTATAAGTACAATAAGTTTTAGTTTTGCTCAAACAATACAGTAAAATAGTCATTGTTAATATTCAAACATTTTAAAGGTAGTTTTAAATAGACGATTTTTATGGCTGTCATTTTGTTTTTGCTTAGGAACATGATGGATAACTTGATACCTTAGTATTCTGTTGTTTACGTTCTGACTGAATTAAACGTAAATATTCCTCGTAAAAAAAAAAAGTCCCCAAACCTTGAAATATTACAGTAGAAGATTTGGAAGTTGTAAAACTTTTTAGCTTTAGATATTTAATATGATTTAAGTATAATAAAAATTAAAAATGCAAGTGAAAGTATCTTTGATAAATCAAATTGCTTCTAATGTATACTTCGTCTCATTCAGACTTCCAGATATTTCGTGTTCTTCTATTTACTTCGGAAAAATAATCTTTCATTGATAATATGTTGAGAATATCTCACGTGAATCTATACTTTATACCAAATTTGTTGATTAATTCATGCATATTTTCATAGAAATTTTTATAAAGAAGGTAATTAAGACTATATTTTCTATTTTTTGCGTTTCATCTAAATTTTACTTTAGTTTCAACTTACTTCAACATAATATAGATTATGTTATATGACGTTAAACCACTTACAGTTGTTTAAAGTAGATGCGTGAGATATAACTAGCATACCACGTGTTCAGTGACGGACAGGAAGTGACGTGCCTTACTTTCCAAGATTTCAAGTAATGTTTTAGAGAAGGATGTATGTGAATTACATCGTATGATAGCACGTTATTATCATAAAGTTAGGAAGGTTAGTTGATCGTAAGATTAATGGAGCCAAAAGGGTGTTACAACCCATAATTTTTTAATTATTGAGCAGAGTCTTATTGAGAAATATCGTGTTATAGCTGCTCGATTATTATTATACAGTTATGACAGTTGATGTAATGCAGGGAGCATGAATAGTATGCACGATTGTCAAGGAATGTTAGGAATTTGAAAACATTTATAAGTTAAATGATCGTTGCGCCCCTTACTGTCCGAGCTATCAAATGGTGTATTACACAGTTCTGCAAATCTATGCACTTGGACAGTTGATGTAATGCAGGGAGCATGAGTAGTATGCACGATTGTCAAGGAATGCTAGGAATTTGAAAACATTTATAAGTTAAATGATCGTTGCGACCCTTACTGTCCGAGCTATCAAATGGTGTATTACACAGTTCTTCAAATCTATGCACTTGGACAGTTGATGTTATTAGATGTAATGCCTAAAACTGGAGATGATTGCCCTATATTTCTAAATCCGGATGTTGTAAGGGTGTCTCGATCCTTGCTTTTTAAACATTCGGATATGATTTTATAACGAATATTGGCGAGAATGCGAAAACCGCCAGAGGTCACTTGGGTGTATTTACACTCAAGTGTATGAAATATGTACACGACTTCTACAGTGAGGGAGTTGTGCCAAGAGAGAGAGAGAGTCAGTTTATCGGCCCATAGATGGCGGTACAATACCTTGTGGAGATGTCTATTTTCTGCCCACCACCAAAATCCAATTTTTGATGTGAAAAACCCTCAGATTTTCTGCTTAGCTACCGGGTGATACTGTATGACACTGTAACAATATATAATATGTAATTATGATATAAATATATATTTGATATCAACGTTTACAAGTCGTTGTATCACAGAGAACATAAATGTCAGACAACAAAAGAATGAAAATAGATAATTCTAAGATTTCAGTATAGAAAGTGGGAATGTGGTTACTCTGTATCGCATCGTAAGAACTTATGGTGAACCCAGTATTTTCACTGATGCTAATGAAAGAATGTTTTTAGTTTTGGGAGCTGAAATATTATATATTTGCAAGGTAGTTGATTTTTTCCAGACTGGAGAAACAAAAACAACAAAATCGTTCCTACTATATTGAGAGAAATATTTACCCGATGATTCAGATAATGGTTGTTAGGAATATTTTCGATTGAATTGTATTGACATTTTAATGATTTAGTTTGTTTTGTTTTGAATTTCGCGCAAAGCTAAACGAGAGTTATCTGCGCTAGCCGTCCCTAATTTAGCAGTGAAAGACCAGAGGGAAGGCTGCTAGTCATCACCACCCACGCCAACTCTTGGGCCACTCTTTTACCAACGAATAGTGGGATTTACCGGCACATTATAATGCCCCCACGGTTAAAAGGGTGAACATGTTTGGTGGGAGGGAGATTCGAATCCGTGACCCTCAGATTGCGAATCAAGCGCCTTAACCACCTGGCTATGCCGAGCCAAAATATTAATAACTGGATGAATTTGACTATAGATAAAAAATCTGCTCACAGCGGTTTATGTATAATACCAAAATTAAAATTGGGGCATCCAATGTTTTATTTTATTTTGATGTAATATGTTCAATTGTGCATATTGAAGTGTTTCAAAAGCGTGCAGTTTTACTGAACATTTCTTAACATTTATTTTATGATTGAAGTTCTACTTAAAACATACACTACTGTGGACTGAATGTATGACCTAAGGCAGAAAGCCACCCTGTTAGCATTGCTCTACGGTCACTCCAAGCTATACTATGCTTGTATCAGCACAATGTCTTATGGAAATGTTTTTGCCAATTAATTATCATGGTAAGAAGTTATCCCGAACAATTCAGCGCCATCTATCCCATTACGATCGATTTACGAGGTTAATGCAGCGTTCGGAGTTTGGCAAAATATAACGACTGAATTATTCGGGTCACATCAAAAGCGAGAGACTGGTGCTTGTACAGTGGCTAGCATGATCTCAGTTTTTTTGTGTAAGAACCAATATGTACAGTTAACCTCCCACCCTTCTCTATCTAAACTGGGCTGTATTTCCATAACAATCAAGCAATGATGGAAGACTTGCAAGTGAGTAAGAGATGTATTGGTTGTGATCATCACTAGGAAACGACACAATGGGGAATACAGCCGTATGCTGGTCAAATTCAATTGTATGGTCGATACAAACCTTGTTGGACTGGTATTTTCTTATATATATATAACTGTAGAAATGGAACTTTACGATGGTAATGGTTTTTACACTTTATGTATATAATCTCCTTTTAGAGCAGATTGTAGTTGTAACTAATGAGAACTTTTAAACTTACACTTCTAAATGAGCTTCCGACCAAACATTTTCAATCCTGACGTTTTCCACATTACATTACATTCTTGTCTTTCTGGTTGTATTATTTTCATGATACATTTGCAGAAGGTTTACCATATTGCTCACTTCACTCACAGCTTTTCATCATTAAAGATGAACTTTTTGATTACTCCTGAGGTCTACTTATCTTTCTCAGTGGACAAATGGAAACTGATGGGTGAAGATGTGTTAATGGTCAACACATCTGATATTCACTATTTCATTCTGTATTAATTTATTAATAGTTTGCTTGTTTAGTTTCAATCCTTCAATACACATTTGTTTTGTCGGAAGTCAACACGCTGTGTAATCTAAATGTCATTATGTCTTCCTTTGCAAAATCCGTGTTATTTTACCTCAGGATCTTAAAGTAAGTCTTGAATCAATGAGGTTCTGGCAGTAAAAGACTATGAATCAATGAGGTTAGGGCAGTACATAACTATGAATCAATGAGGTTCTGGTAGTAAATGGCTATGAATCAATAAGGTTATGGTAGTAGATGATTATGAATCAATGAGGTTCTGGCAGTAAATGGCTATGAATCAGTAAGGTTATGGTAGTAGATGACTATGAATTAGTGAGGTTATGGTAGTAAATTACTATGATTCATGGAGGTTATGGTAGTAGATGACTATGAATCAGGAAGGTTATGGTAGTGGATGACTATGAATCAGGAAGGTTATGGTAGTAGATCATGGAATCAGTGTTCCCTGTCACAAACGTAGTTTTTATTTATTTAACGTTTGCCGTGTAGTATGAACTCTCAATGTTTACCCCTAATCTTTCTAATACGCACTCTTTATTTGTGATAATTTTCATGCCTGTCTTTATAAATTGATCTGCTTAACATTTCTTTTTCAGTCACTCTCCAAGTGTCACTTTTTTTTACTTTAACAACACTTAAGTATAGTTTTCTTGACCATTTGTAAAGCAAAACATCTCTAACACCTTTTACATAACGCTCTTGTTTCCAGCCATGTTGGACCAGAAATTAGATACACTTAACATTAAAAATATACAAAACACTTCCTGGAAGCCCAGCTGACCTTCATGACATCACTCAACTCCTTTTATATATCTTTCATTCAGTTACACCACCATTTCCAGTTTACCCCTGAAGAAGAAAGGCCCACCTTTCAAAAGCGCTCGGATTATAAGGGTTTGTCGTTTTTATATTAAGACATCTTAAGCCTACGTGTTTTTCTGATATCATGAATTTATCAGTCAGTGAGGTTATAGTAGCAGATAACTATGAATCAATGAGGTTCTGGAAATAGATAACTATGAATCAACGATGTTCTGAAAGTGGATAAATATAAATCAATGAGATTCTGGAAGTAGAGGATTATGAATCAATCAGGTTCTGAAAGTAGATGAATAAATGAATATTTGCTGTAAAATTAATTAGAAATCATGGCTTTTTGTCAATACATACCAACAAACCACTGCAAGAAAGAAAGTGACACTGGATAGTAACCAACATTAGATTTAGGATCGCAACCCTATTATTCGGAACATACATATACTTTACATAACCAACCAGATTCTTTAAATATGTATGGCGGTAGTTTTTTCTGTATAAAACAGTGTAAATAACTTCTTTTATAGTAACGCCATGGAAACCAAATTAACAGTTTCTTGTCATCACCCGCATGCACTTGGTACAGCCGTATCAAGCATCATTATTTATCCTAATTGCTTAAGCTAATATCACGTGATGCTAAACGCCCTTTAATTAAGAGGATTTCATAAAATTTAGCAAATTTGTGCTTAAAAATTGTCAATGAATAATTAATAATAACCGCCCACACGTAAGATTCTTTTGAAAACTTGAGCTAGAAATTGACAATCTAGTTGGCTTGACCTAATGAATTCTTATGTATCTGCACGTGCTTTCACCCTATAGTTTTGCTACTCTAAATCAGCCGTCTTTAATTCGAATGACAAAAAGCTAAAACAGTCCACCTTCACTCTTAGGTGAAGCTGCACTAAAAATTTCAGACCAATAGCTCTCGTGACTTTTTGCGTAGGCGTGCGGAAAAATTTTGGTAAAACTGAGCGGTTTTTGTTGAATAACTTTGCATACGTGGCTTATACTTAGGCCAAATTTGACATCTAATTGTAGGTTGTAAAGATTTACCTGTCTACTTAATTTGAAAAAATCCATGAAAGTTGATGTTTGTTTGTAATTAAGCACAAAGCTACACGATGGGCTATCTGTGCTTTGC